GCGTACCCAGATGAAAGCGACAGAACACTGAATCCCCGACTGGCTGACAACGAGCCAACCGATTGAGGATCACTCGAGGGTCATGACCCATGCCCCCTGGCATCAATAGAGGGAGGAGGTGACCCGGCCGGTGTCTGATCAGCCCGCGAATGGCTGTGACCGCTAGCTCAGGGCAAAACCACCGGAGCAACTGGCGGGGCATCTCCCCATTATGGGTCACGCACACGCGTTGACCCTGGAGACACAGAGGAATGACTACAACCACGCTTGGAGCAGGGGGTTGTGAAGCCGACAATGTCTCCAAAGGGCGCGGCGACTGCGCCCGCTTCGCCTCTTGTTCGAGGGCGGCGTCTTCAATCACAGCACGCTTCCTCGACTCAGGAACATCGTCACACACCTCTGTACCACGCCCGCCACTGACGGGCGTAGCCGTGGGCTCACAGCGCTCCACCAAGGTCACGGCAATGCCCCTAGCTTCCTCGTCCTCCAAGGAACTCGCATCATCACCCATCTCTGAGGGTTCCTCCGACTCGAGCTCCGCATCCATGTCGCTCCGGCTTTCACCACCATGGACCCACTGGTTGATCTCCTTCTCCTTATCAAACCTCCTCTAGGCCTTCTCGGTTTTCTTCTTCTTCTTGGCAAGCGCGGCCTCCCTCTAGGCAGCTTGCCGAACTGTGCCTTTTGGCCCTCTTGGAAGATGTGGCCGGAATTTATAGCCTGTGAGTCCCTTCGAAATGGGCAACTCGAAGTCAATCAAAACATCAAAACAAGAAGGAAAAGGTCATGGGAAAAAAGCATACCAAATTAGATAGCTTCGCGGCGTGAAGGGGATCGGGTGTCCCTTCGAGGGAGTCTTCATCCCTCAACTACAGCACCTTATCGAGACAACTCTAGACTTCATCTTTTGGCAACTCCTCCGGCGACGCGTGGTTGGGATCCACCGGGCCGGAGTATTCCCACATCAGTCGCGTTCTCTCCACCAACGGGGCGACCCAATGGCATAACAAGGTATGGAAGACTCACAACCCGTCGAGGCCATGCCACACGAGCCTCCGAAGCTCCGTCTTGATAATCTCCAGCTTATTCTACCGACGGGCGAGACCCCATGACCAACTTTCCCTCCTCTCCGGCCTCTCCCCGGTGAACATCGAGAATGGCGCCTCTGCCGAGTTCCTAATGTAGAACCACTCATCGTGCCACCCCTGGTTGGAGTCACAGGGGGAGTACGCGGGGTAGGGGACCGATGGCTTCGGCCTCTTCTGCAGGGCAAATCCTCCAATCGGTGCGATTCTGGGCGGCTTCCCTTCGGACAGGGCAAATCCACGTGCGGCTCCATTCCGAGGAAGGCCTCACAGACGGTGATGAAACTAGCGATATGCAGTACCCCAGTCGGGTTGAGGTGCTGCAACTCTAGGCCCCACTCATTGAGGAGCCTGTGCAGGAACTAATGCGCGGGATACCCGAGCCCGTGCTCATGGAAGGCAAGGAAGGATACGACCTCATCGGCCCGGGGTTGTGGAACAACCTCCCTCGGTGTACGAACACTCCAATGCGCCACCTCCTTCTACGGGAGTAGCCCCTTCTCGGCGAAGGCGGCCAGCACCTCCTCATCCATGTTGGAAGGCCTCCAGTTCGACATTGCACCTCAGACTTACGAATGAATCTATGAGTTTTTTCTCTCCCTCGCTCCGCTCTCCTCACTCCTAGAAACCGCCGCGGCACACGAACATGCTTGGTGAAAAGAAGGAAGGAGAAATGGCAGCGGTTGAAGAAAGGTGAAAGAACAGGAGGAAAACCCTCTCCCTTCCCCCTATTTAAGGTAGAAAGACGTGCGGCAGGACGTGGCTCAGGCTGATGGGACGTGGCCTGCCCGACAAAACGTCACCTGACTAACAGGACGTGGCCTGGGCAGGGCCCACCACTACCGCAACCCAGGCATGGGAAACAAGGTGCAACCGCACGCAAACGACCCTCCGCCTTCCAAGGTAGGGTCTGGAGAGGTCCACGGATGGAATCTCCATCGAGGGGAGGCTAGCGGGCCACCTGAGTCGGTCTCTGGAATGACTTAGGCATCTGCCGGGAGGTGGGTTAAGGAGCAGTGGAATGCCACATGAGGGCTATGCCGACCCCGTCATGAACGATGGACCCGGATTCCACTCGGACATGCCCGTTAGCGAGCTTGCCGAGCGCGACACTCGAGCCATCGAGGCAAGTGTCGTTAGCTCAACCTCTCCGATTGCAGAAATCATGGACGGGATGACGCATAAAACTCAGTCGACCCCTACGGGGCTCGAGCTGTTAGGTCCCTACTTAGGAACCCGACTGACCGCGTAGGTTGCGGTCGGAACGGACATGGGCGAACGCCCCAACCGGAAAGAACACAGAGTCCGCAGCCCCAGAAAAGAGTACCAAGGTGCTCAGCCTTCGACCGACTCTCCAGCTGGCTGTAGGCTCGGGGGCTACGCTCACCTCCATATCGTCCGACCCTTGGGTTCGCGCTCCGTCTTGCCCGACCCCCTTGGCCGCGCCTGACCCTTGGGTTCACGCTCCATCTCGTCCGACCCCAAGGTCACAGGCTCCGTCTCGCTCGACCCTTGGGTTCACGCTCCGTCTCACCCGACCCCTCTGCCGCGCCTGACCCTTGGGTTCGCGCTCCGTCTCGTCCGACCCCTCGGCCGCGCCTGACCCTGTCACGCCCGACCCTAAGGCCGCGCCTGACCTTGTCTCGTCCGACAACGACCCACAATCTTACACCCACCGGGTGCGCTTGTGAAACGAGTGTAAACAGCCCCTTCACGACTTCACAAATGTCCCAAAGAGGCTCGGGGGCTCCTATCGGGTTCATAAACACGGGGTCCCCAATGGACCTGCTTCCTTACAAAAGTCGGCCCAGCAGACGGCGCAACAACAACGCGCCCCTGGACTGGCCCAGATACATAATGATAGGCCAGGACAATGATCCGATTCCTGATCGAAAGGCCTGGGCAAGGTGGGACCGTGGTCTGGCTCTGACATCCTTCTTCGACCGAGGATACGTCAGACCTCTGCTCGCTTCTCCTTTCCAACCAACACGGTCGGGACTGACTGGAAACGACTGACCAGGGACACCCTCTCAGTGAGGTCCCGGGGATCAGGTGGAACAGATAAGGTAAGACGCTCAAGCCAACCGCAATACAGAGGGTCGTACCCTACCATGCCCTACGCATCTGCATGACGGTGCCACTAGGCCATGCCAGACGGGCACTATACAACCTTCCAGATGCGCCAGAGCACAAACAGTATTGTAGGCGCCGACGTTTGCCGTACCAAGCGAACACGGTAGAGCCTGCCAGATGCGTCTAAACATAAACAATATTGTAGGGCCCAATAACCGTCTCATACCCGACAGCGTGGGCAACAAGACTTGGTAGCACATATATACACACTCTCTCTCTTTCTGACTTGTAAGGCCACCCCTTCAACTATAAAAGGGGGTGAGCTCTCTCTAAAAAACTCCGATCTCTCTCGGGAAAAATAAGGCTAGACGACTCGAGGACTCGAACAGTTCAACAGCTCTAGAACTCGACAGCTACACAGAGCATACGATCCAATACTTAGTGCACGTTAGAGCACCCGTCACTCTCTTCCATTCGGCTCAAAGTCCGATCGGGCCTCTAACACCCCCTTCTCATTCCTCACTCGTTTGTAACCCCACAACAAACTTCGACCACCTAGGCTTAGAAATAAAGTCACCGACCGACTACCTAGACGTAGGGCACGTTGCCTGAACCAGTATAAATCATGTGTCATTGAATGCTAGGTCATATCCGATCACAACGCACGGCAAAACTACAAATATTTATTTGTTGGTTAAATTTCACACCGAAATAGGCTTTGTTCGCTTGTCTTATAACCCGTACTTTTCAGGTTGTTTTTTCAGTCGGAACAATGTTTTCTCTCACAACAAATTAGCTATAATAGTGTTTCGGCTTGTTTTTTTAGCAAAACGAACGGTGCCATCCAGACTAATTTGGGAGACGAATTTATTAAGTTTAATTAATCCATAATTTAACGGTGTAGTGCTACACTAAATATGTGTTAATAATAAATTAATTAGGTTTAATAGATTCGTCTCCACGTGTACAGTTAGTTTTATAATTAGCTCATATTTAATCGTATTAATTAGCATCCAACACGTCGATGTGGCGGGGACCCAACTTTGAAACCGTGGATCCAAAGACCCCCTAATTCACTTCAAATTAAACATCCGTGCATCCTGTGCAGGCCGGCACCTATTACAACAGATCCAAGCCCTCGAACTACCAGAGTAGGTCTCAGCAATTTATTTATTTTTTCTATAGCTCCAGTTGTTGGCGTTGCAACAGGATGAAAAAAAAATCGATGAATAATACACATGCCACAATCCTCACTAGAAAATTGAAAGCAAATGCAAATCGTGATCCTTTTCTTCTCAATCTTTGTCACTGATCTATCTATGCACATTGGCAAAAGAATATGGAAACCTTCCAACAAGGAAAAGCCGAAAGCAAAGATACAAGAATACAACGAATACAGCAAGCAAGAAGAAAGTGAGGAGAAAGAGAAAGAAAGAAAGAATGAATGATCTTTTTCCGTCGTGCTGGTCTCGTCAATCGTTTCACCTGCAGGACGGACGGGCCATGTGTGCACGCTGCCCTGTCGCTGTGGGGGTTGTTCGCAAGTCAATCGAAGGTTACCTCACCAAGAAATCAAACCGTTGATCACGCTCACGCAGCAGCAGCAGCGGCGGCATCGGAGATGTCGGCGTCAAGTGCCTTCTGATCCCGCTCCTGCTCGATCGCCTTTTTCAACGGAAAACCATGGCCCAGGACAGGGGTGTCCCCAATGGCGACGCGCGTGCGGCGGCTTGCTGTTGGCAAGCACCCGCACCATGGTCCATGGAAGTGGCCGATGACGCAATGCGAATGGCTACGTTTCGTCGGCAGCTGTAGAGTTTGGGACGGCGATGGCGACGGCGGCTAGTCGGTGTCGGTGAGGTCGAACTGGTCGGTACCGGAGCGGGAGAGCACGGGTCGGCGGCCGGTGCCGGCGCGGGAGAGCGGCGCCGCCCCGCAGGCGGCGAGGGCGCGCTCCAGGGCGTCGACGACCTCGGTCATGGACGGGCGGTCGCACCCCACGGGGCCCACGCAGTCGGCGGCGAGGTAGCCCACGTAGGCCAGCGCCTCGGCCTCGTCGGGCGCGGGCGCGGGGAGGCGCGGGTCCAGCACGCGCGCGACGTCGTCGGCGAGGATGTGCGGCACCGCGAACTCCACCACGTTCTTGGGCGTCACGCTCTCGGCGTAGCGCTGCACGACGCGGCAGCCGGACATGAGCTCCAGGAGCACCACGCCGAAGCTGTACACGTCGCTCTTGTCCGTCAGGTGCTGCAGACGGTAGTACTCTGGGTCCATGTACCCCACCGTGCCCCCCGTGTAGATCGGCTCCTGCGGCGCGCCGTCGTCACTGCCGGCGCAGGCGCCCGCGCTGGGGTCGAGCACGGAGGACAGCCCGAAGTCGGCGATCTTGGCCGTCCACGCGTCGTCGAGCAGGATGTTGGCGGACTTGACGTCGCGGTGGATGATGGGCGGCACGGCGTAGACGTGCATGTACTCCATGCCCCGCGCCGCGCCCAGCGCGATGGTGAGCCGGCCGCGCCACGACGACACGGCCGCCGCCATGGGGCTCCGGCTGTGCAGCTGGTCGTGCAGCGTGCCGTTGGCCATGTACTCGTACACCAGCACGCGCTCGCCGGAGTCGGCGCAGCAGCCCAGCAGGCACACGATGTTCTTGTGGTTGGTGCGCGCCAGCGCCGTCAGCTCCGAGGTGAACGCCGTCTCGCGGTCGCGCCGCCGGGCCGGGCGCGCCGCCGAGCTCGACGCCTTGGCCGACTCCTCGGCGCGCTTGATCGCGACCTCGCGCCCGTCGGGGAGGGTGCCGCGGTACACGGACCCGAAGCTCCCGGTCCCAATCCGGCTGTCGTCGGAGAACCCGTCCGTCGCGGCGTGGAGCATGTCCAGCGTGAAGTGCTCCACCACGCTGCCCGGGCCCCTGCTCCTGCTGGACCCGAGCCTCGCCGGCATCAGCGACTGCTGCGCGCCACCGGAGGTATCCTGTTCGTTCCCGCGGCGGCGGCGCCGGCGCCGGCGACACCACAGGAACAGCGCGAACTGCAATGCCGCGAAGAACACGAGGAAAGCGGCGGCCGCCGCGGCGATTGCAATCCACATGGTCCTCCTGCTCATGCCGCCCTTCCCGGGGACGAGCGACGCGCTGGGCCTGGCGACGTTGAGCTCGAACGCGCAGTCGACGCAGACGCAGCGGCCGGCGTCGCAGAGGTTGGCGGAGCCCGGCAAGACGCCGCATTGGCACGAGGACATGGGCACGCAGGGGCCCGGCATGACGCGGCCGAAGACGAGGCGGTTGGTGGCGTTGAACTCGGCGCCGCCCCAGCAGACGAGGGAGTAGTTGGCCATGAGCACGCCGCAGAAGGCCTTGCCTTGCGCGCGCACGTCGAGGAACTGGGCGCGCGTGAGGCCGGCCGGCGGGTGGGCGACGCCGTCGCCGAAGCAGCGGATGGTGAAATTGGTGCGCAGGCCGCAGACGCCCGACTCCCCCAATGCCAGCGCCGCGTACCCCCCGGTGGCCGCCGCGTCGACCCTCGGCGGGTCGCGTCCCCAGCACTTGAGCGCCCCCGTTGTGGACAGCGCGCACGCGCGGTGGCGGCACGCGGCCACGACGTCGAAGCTCCCGTCCGCCGGCGCGCCGGCGACGGCCACCGTGTCGTTGCCGAAGCAGCGGATGGAGGCCGGCGTCCCTCTCAGGATGCCGCACACGAAGCCGTGCCCGACGGCGGCGGCGACGAAGCGGAGGTCCCGGGAGATGTTGAGGCCGCGCCAGCGCCAGCAGTGGAGCTCCCCGCTGTCGAGCACCCCGCAGACGCGGTACTCCCCCGAGGACAGCGCCCGGAGCGGCGGGCCCATGTAAACCCGCTTGGACCTGCTGCCGCCGTCAGCGGACAGGTCCCACCAGCGCATGTCGACGTCGCCCGCGCGCTCGCCGGAGGGCCCCACGGCGCAGAGGAAGTCCTCCCCCCCGGCCAGCGCGGCGAAGGGGTGCGAGGACGGGTACGTCTCCTGGCGCGCGTGGTCGCCGCCGGCCGCCGTGCAGTTGAGGTCGACCAGCAGCGGCGACGCCGCGGACGGCAGCAGCGCGCACACTATGGTGGTGGCGTCCGCCTTGGCCAGCGCGAAGGGGGAGAGCGCCGCCGCCGCCGCCGCGGGCCGCCGCGCCGCGAGCAGCAAGAAGACGGGCAGCAGGAAGAGGAAGAAGGCATGGAGCCGGAGCCGGCGCGGCGGCGGCATGAGAGTGCGCGGCAGCGTGTGGGGAGGAGAAGGGGGAGGGGGAGCGGCAGGCCGGAGGACATGGTAAGGCAGCCGAGGCCGAGCCGTGGGACAGGTGTGTCCGGCCGCGTCAGGTGGTGGATTTGGTGGCTAATCCTGCTCCTGCCTGCGCGCTCTGCTCTGGCACTCACCTCAACTGCTCTCAGCTCAGCTCACACTCCTTGACCGCGGCGGGCATGCTTGGCGTCCATCGTCCATCTCCATCCGTCAATGGAAGGGGGGGCCGAGGTGGCTGATTAGCTAAGCTCGTTAGTGGGTTGGACGATGATCAAGGTGATGATTAGAGTCGGTAAAATTTAACTAATTCTTGTCTCCCGGCAGGTGCAGTGTCAGGACTCAGGAGCAGGACAAGATTGCGCTGTCAGGGGAGCACTGGCGACGCATGTGGCAAGAGGATCACGGTTGCTTCCTCGACTCTCTGTGGATGCGAATCTGGCTGGGAAGGAAAACTACCGACTACCAGTCTGATGCAACCTCGTCGGCGACAGATTACTGTTCCGGGCAACTGTACCTGGCGTTAGTTACTTCCCTGTGCACGCCAAGTTTAATTTTAATCCGGTTTTGGACGGCTGACAGTGCCGGCTTACTGAACGGATTGACTGTAGAAGAAAAGTGACAGATGAGCTGGTTCGCTCGTCTGCTCACGCATGCCGGCTTACCGGTGATTATCTACCCACAAGTACATTCCATTCTTGTTTTTTTTTGTTTTTTGTTTTTTTGCTCACATGCCCATGGTCACTCATTAGACTCAATTTATAAAGTCCAATAAGTACATTCTCCTCACCCCCTCTTATTCTTAACTTTATCTTTGGATCCACATCTCCGGAAAACAACTTTGCGTGATTTAAGCTGACCACTTTACCAAATTTTTATTGTTTATATGTTCTTATATAGTATATATTCGGTGTGTTGTCTGGTTATGTGCTTGGACAGATACTTGGGTTGGGAACAACCTGAGGGCACCGATGTCAAATGGCGTGTCAATCAGGATCATTTTGTATCTCAATGGCCAAAAATTGTTGAGTTTTGGCCACTAATATAATTCAGGATTAAACTGTTAACATTTTTCACACAATCAAAATCATATTAATGTGATTTTTTAGATGTAATCTGAAAAAGGAGCATTTATATAATGTACCGTTATACTCACATATAATGCTAGAAAATTTATTGTCAATGTTTATACCATACCTATATTTCTTTTCTGAAAAAACAAATAGCAAGAGCTCTGTCATACTATATAAGAAGAAAGTAGGTCAAAGTCTTACATAAGAAAATTTCATGGAAAAACATGGACACAAACACAATACAAAAACAGAAAAAACATTAGGGAACATCTAGGTGTTCACAGCCTTCGTTAATAAGCCTCCGCTCCTCCTTTATTAATCCCATCAGTTGTAAAGGTGATCTCGCTGTTTCCTAGAAAGTTCTTTGATTTCGCTCTTTCCATATATTCCATGTCGTGTACATGAGTATTGTTGTTGTTGTTGTTATTGCGCAAAGCGGATTGCCCAAAGCTCCACAAACTGCACCATTTGTTGTATAGATTCAATCCTCCATAAACCTCGTGTCCAGTTCATATTCAGAAGCTCATCATTCACTTTTTGGTTCTTTCTCCAAACCAACGGGATACAGATTTGGTGCTATGTCAATTGGTGGCACCATTTAGCCAAGATGATTGCCAAAACTTGCTTTGCGTCCTCGCCCAATAGTCACTACCGTCGAGGCATGGAAAAGAGCTTTGTTCACTTGATCGTAGTGCGGAACAGTTCCCACCCACAATCTTTTAGGATCGACCTACTCATACCAAAGCCATCGAAGTCTCAAAGCCCTTTCAAATCTTTCCAAGTCAAGAATCCCTAGCACACCAAGGTTCTTTGGTCTTGCTGCTTGTTGGCCATTGCACTAGACCCTAACTCCCATTCACATTAGCTTCCCCTTTCCAAAGGAACCTCCTCTTAGTCTCGTCGATCAGTTTAATTGCTCATTTCTTGATTGGAAGGACCGTGAGGAAGTCCACTAGAAATGAAGATAGCACCGAGTTTACCAAAGTAAGCCGCCCATGCCTATCCAAGAACTTGGCCTTCCAGTTCAGCAATTTTGTAGCCACTTTATCGATCAACGGCTGGACCTGAACCCACCGCAGTGGCATGACATTTAGAGGCAGGCCCAAATATTTACATGGAAAGGCTTTGACCTCACACGGAATGCCATCTAGGAGAGAAACTAGAGACAAGAGATCGCAAGCAATTAGGTAGAACACACATTCATGAAGATTGGTTACTGTAAGGAAAATGGACCCAAGGCTCATTTACTTTGGATTTTGGTGTTTGATGACCAACACAATCAAATTGGACTAATGAATTTGCAAGAGATTGTTTTGTAGTTCAATAGGGTGCAATACGATGATCAAGACCATAAGGAAGACCCTAGAAGCACAAGAGAAGACCCAAGATATCAAGCAAAGTCCAAGCACGAAGATAGGAACCAAGCCGGACGCAAGATCGCGAAGAAACGAGCTCGGCAGAGGTGACCGGACGCGGCCCTAATAAGGACCGGACACGTCTGATCAGTTGCTCGGCAACACAAGGCATCGACAGTTGTGACCGAACGCTGAGCAGCAGTGACTGGACGCTGAGCGAAGTAGTGACCGGACGCACCGGTGACACTGTTCATTGTCACGGCAATGCTTTTAGCGTGACCGGACGCAGCGGCACTGGACGACCGGACGCAGGAACTGTAGTGTCCGATCGACTCCAGATAGGTTCCAGAGCGGCGCCAGCGCGACCGGACACATCCGGTAGAAGATGACCGGACTCAGCACAGAGTCCGATCAACGTGAGCGCTCCAACAGTCGGGACGACCGGACGCGTCCGGTCAGTAGCAGAAAGCTAGGTTTCGTCCCCAACGGCTACTTTCTCAGTGGGGCTTATAAATAGACCCCCAACCAGCCATTTGAAAAAAAGTGTAGTTGAGAAAACATACCAAGGGTGTTGATACACCATTTTAGTAGTCTCCACTTGCATAGTGCTTAGTGATTCATTAGGTGATTTAGCGTAGGTGCTTTGCGAAGTGCTTAGATTGATTAGACCACCGCTTATGCGCTTGCTCTAGGTTAGGCCTAGTGTTTAGTAAGGTTTGTATACCTCTTACCACTCGGTGCTTGCGCGCACCATTGTTGTACATCGGAGGGGCTTGTAGTCTTGCGAGATCACACCAACCGCGTTTGTGGTGTGGCCGCCATCGTGTACCGAAGGGAACAAGGCCCGCGGCGGCTCGGCCAGAAGCTTGATAGTGAAGATGGCGGGGAGCATCCGGGAGAGGCATGCCGGAAGGCACGTCGGAGACCCACTTGCGTGTGGGGAAGGCCCGAGGCTATCCACGGAGATACCCGATCAAGAGCTTGGCCCTTACGAGGGGCTCCAACAAGGACTGGGGAAAAGCTTGCGCGCTTCTCGATACCTCGGTAAAAATACCAGAGTCGTCGACGGGAGTTTACATATCTCTACCTTACTCTTTAGCTTCTGCATTTACATTATTTGCATAACTCCTTTTGCGGTAGAGATAGCAACACACTAGCAAAACCGTAGTTGCACATTTAGATAGTTTATCACTTTGCATAGGTTTTGCTAAGGTTAGAAAGAGGCCATAGTTAAGAGTTAGATTTTTAAGTTCCCTAATACACCTCCCCTCTTAGGCGTCATAGTCCCTTTCAATTGGTATCAGAGCCGTTTGGCTCAATTTGGACCTTTGGCTTCACCGCCATTGAGCCGACGCTATTTAGAGTGGTTGGGATGGATATGTCTAGGCCTCCGCACTTTGACGGCACTAACTTTCCCTACTATAAAGCTAGAATGGCTTGTCACCTTGAGGCGGTAGATTTAGGTGTTTGGAGAGTCACTCATGATGGGATAAAACCCATTAAGAATCCCGATAAACCCACAAAGAGTGAAGAAAAAGATTCATTTCAATGCTAGAGCTAAAAATTGCTTGTTTGAATCTTTTAGCATGGATGTGTTTAACCAAGTATTCACTTTAAATATGCACATGAAATTTGGTTAAAATTCCAAGAGCTCCATGATGGCACAACTAATGTCCATGAGCAAAAACATTGTCTAGCTAAACAAAATTATGATTCCTTTAAAATGAATGATGATGAGCTTGTTTATGATATGTATTCTCATTTGAATCTAATGATCAATGCGCTCCATTCAATAGGATTAACAAAGCTAGATGATGCAAACATCATGAGGAAGATCATCTCCATGCTACCACAAAAAAAATATGCAAGCATCATTACCATCCTTCACAATATGGAGGACTTGAGCACCATGACTCCGGCCATAGTCATTGGCAAGATAGTGGCATTTGAAATGTAAAGCAAGATGGGTCAAGAAGAAGCCTCTTCTTCAAGCAAAGGCAAAGCTCTCACATGTAGTGAGAAAAAGAAGATGAAGGGCAAGCAAGTTGAGACAAGATCAAGCTCAAGTTCCTCAAGTGAAGATGAAAAAGAAGATCAGGATGATGACAACGAAGAATCAAGTGATGATGATCAATCTTCCTCCACCTCTGACCTTGATGAAGAATCTATCAAGCTTATCAATAAGGTGGAGAAGATGATCCAAAAACTCAATGTCAAGGGTGTACCCATCCAAATTCAAGATTTCATCTTCATCAATCAATGAAATGAGCAAAAAAAGAAAGGATGCTATGGATGCGGGGAGCTGGGGCACTTTGTGGAAGTTTGTCCAAACAAGCCCACACCCAAGACAAAAAAGAAGGCATGCAGGGATAAAGCCATCACATCAATAAGGTCATGGGATGATTCTTCAAGTGAAGAAGAAGACCATCACAAGAGGCGAGGGCATAAGAACTCATCATCAAGCATCTCACGTGTGTGCCTTATGGCACAAGGTAACAAAAAGTCTATCCCTAGTGATAGTGACAATGATAGTGATGAT